CAACCACTTTTATAAACAATACGTAACGGTAACCTCGGAACAACCACTTTTAAACAATACGTAACGGTAACTTAGGAACAATCACTTTTATAAACAATACGTAACGATAACCTCGGAACAACCACTTTTATAAACAATACGTAACGGTAACCTCGGAACAATTACTTTTATAAACAATACGCAACGGTAACCTAGGAACAATCACTTTTATAAACAATACGTAACGGTAACCTAGGAACAACCAATTTTATAAACAATACGTAACGGTAACCTGGGAACAATCACTTTTATAAACAATACGTAACGGTAACCTCGGAACAATCACTTTTACAAACAATACTTAACGGTAACCTCGGAACAATCACTTTTACAAACAATACTTAACGGTAACCTCGGAACAATCACTTTTATAAACAATACGTAATCTTAGAACTAGAGTTTAATAAACAATATATGATGGTAATCTTAGAACTAGAGTTTAATAAACAATACATGATGGTAATCTTAGAACCAGAGTTTAATAAACAATATATGATAGTAATCTTAGAACTAGAGTTTAATAAACAATATATGATGGTAATCTTAGAACTAGAGTTTAATAAACAATACATGATGGTAATCTTAGAACTAGAGTTTAATAAACAATATATGATGGTAATCTTAGAACCAGAGTTTAATAAACAATATATGATGGTAATCTTAGAACCAGAGTTTAATAAACAATATATGATGGTAATCTTAGAACTAGAGTTTAATAAACAATATATGATGGTAATCTTAGAACTAGAGTTTAACAAACAATATATGATGGTAATCTTAGAACCAGAGTTTAATAAACAACATATGATGGTAATCTTAGAACTAGAGTTTAATAAACAATATATGATGGTAATCTTAGAACCAGAGTTTAATAAACAATATATGATGGTAATCTTAGAACTAGAGTTTAATAAACAATATATGATGGTAATCTTAGAACCAGAGTTTAATAAACAATACATGATGGTAATCTTAGAACTAGAGTTTAATAAACAACATATGATGGTAATTTTAGAAGCCCAGTTTTGCAAAGAATATTTTGAGATGATGGCAAGTCCTGTTTTTATAAATTAGATTTACTGAAATGGTGTGAATATTCATAGAGAAAATGGATTACACTCTCTGAATGCATAATCTAAAACTGTAAAAACAAATACTTCACGTCAGTAGACTGAATGTATTAGGTTTTATACTGTACTAGAAGAAAACAGCTTGATTCTTTGAAGCAAAAATATAATAAGTTCATGACAACATCTAACAATGCCTACATATAAATATTTAGGCCTCCTACAGTACCATCTTACACACACATCATAATAAGTATGCGTGTGAAATTTGACAAAAGATGAAATAATCACATAATCTTATAAATCGTGTTTGATGTTTCTTTAAAACCAACTCTTGATGACTTCATCTTATGTTAAAACATTAAAGTTAAGTTGTATCTATTAAGGTTGTACTACTACTGATCATTATCAAGGTGTTTAACCTACTTACCAAACAAAGAGAGATTTACATGTTTTGTTAAATCAAAGACTGGTTTATATGTGTGTCTATTACATTGTATGAGCATTTAAACACTGTCAGTAAACATAACACAAGTCAGCATACTGACAACACACACAGTAAACATAACACAAGTCAGCATACTGATAACACACACACACACAGTAAACATAACACAAGTCAGCATACTGATAACACACACACAGTAAACATAACACAAGTCAGCAAACTGACAACACACACAGTAAACAAAACACAAGTCAGCATACTGACAACACACACACACACAGTAAACATAACACAAGTCAGCAAACTGACAACACAAAGAGTAAATCTAGTAGAGAAGGCAGCAAACTGATACAACACACAGTAAACCTAGTAGAGAAGTCAGGTCACTGATACAACACAAAGAGTAAATCTAGTAGAGAAGGCAGCAAACTGATACAAAACACAGTAAACCTAGTAGAGAAGTCAGGTCACTGATACAACACAAAGAGTAAATCTAGTAGAGAAGGCAGCAAACTGATACAAAACACAGTAAACCTAGTAGAGAAGTCAGGTCACTGATACAACACAAAGAGTAAATCTAGTAGAGAAGTCAGCAAACTGATACCACACACAATAAACCCAGTAGAGAAGTCAGCAAGCTGATACAACACACAGTAAATCAAGTAGAGAAGTCAGGTCTCTGATACAACACACAGTAAACCTAGTAGAGAAGTCAGGTCACTGATACAACACAAAGAGTAAATCTAGTAGAGAAGGCAGCAAACTGATACAACACACAGTAAACCTAGTAGAGAAGTCAGGTCTCTGATACAACACACAGTAAACCAAGTAGAGAAGTCAGGTCTCTGATACAACACACAGTAAACCAAGTAGAGAAGTCAGGTCTCTGATACAACACACAGTAAACCCAGTAGAGAAGTCAGGTCTCTGATACAACACACAGTAAACCCAGTAGAGAAGT